ACCCTGATTCTTTGTCTTTCCAAATTTTCCCACCCACCCATGCTTTCCATACAAGCGAAGACCCAGCTGCCAAAGCACCTCAAGATCGCTGAAAGCACCTGAACTCCCCCGAATGGGCCTCACCTGTCCCTTGTATCTTGGTGCTCCCGCTAGCCAGCCCCTTACCTACCACGCTCACTATCATTTCTCCCTCCCCTAATACTGGCAGCCACAGTGGTCGAAGGAGGTGGTGAGTGACCCTTAAGGTCTCGCCAGCAGGAAGGTAAAATGGTAGAAACCACTTAGGAAAACAGCTTGGCAGTCTCTTAAGTTAAACGTGGAGTTACCACGTGACCCAGCTATTCTACTCCTATGGAAAAATGCCAAGAAAAATGCTGCAAATGAAACCATACGTCCCCACAAAGACTTGTACACAAAGACTTCAGAGCAGCATTATTGGGTCAAAGCCTAAAGTGGAAACAATCCACAAGTCTATCAACAGTGAATGGATAAGCAAAACGTGGTATGTCCATACGACCGGCTAGTCCTAGGCAATAGAAAAGAGCTAACTAGTGGCATGCTGTAACATAAATGCCCCTCAAAAACAATGTAAGGGAAGAAGCCAGGTGCCAATGACCACACCCCAAAAGATTCTACTCACATAAAATGTTCAGAAAAGGCAAATCTGTACAGACAGAAAGCAGATTAGTAGTTGTCTGGGGCTGGGAGTAGGAACAGGGATCACCTGCAAATAGGCACAGGGGATCTTTTTGGAATGACAGAAATAGTCTAAAATTTGATTATAGTGATGGTTATACAACTCCGTAAATTTTTCTAAAAATCACTGAATGTTAAGGAGCAAATTTTATGGTTTCTAAATTATACCTCAATAAGGCTCTTATAAAAAAAGATCTCACCAGATACATAGCCATCCACAGGGGCCTCTGGGTGTCCCCCACCATTAAGGCATGAGAGAGGATAAGGCTAACAGGGCAGGGGGTACCCACACTGGCTTCCTTGCCTCTGCCAGTCATTTCTGTGTTGGGGCCTGAGGCTCCGGGTGCCATTCGGATCCTCCAGCCTGAGAAGAGCGGAGTGACTGCGACTTGGTGCCACCATGCCCTTCACCTTCAGGTGTAGGCACTCACGTGGGGTAGCACTCAGTACATCCTCCACAGCAAACTCCTGACCTTGTCTAGCCCGACTGAGCCCAGGCTGCACATGGCTGCTCTTCGGAAAACAGTTTTAGGAGCAATCCTAGGAGCAAATCAAGAGTCAGCCTGATTTTGACAACCTAGAGACTTCAGGAACTTTGAGACAGAGGAAAAAAGGGCAGGGGGAGAATAAAGATCGGGTGTAGGATCTCTGCTGAAATTTGCTGAATTCACACAAAACCAAGGAAATCTGCCAAGCAAATTGCTGGTAAATAAAACATTTCAAAGGGAGTGTTGAACCTACTTAAGAAACACCCGTTCCTGATATCCAAGGATAGATATTCTAAGTATAATTTATTCTCACTGAGGCATTAGAGAAAGCCAATGAGATGTCAAATTGCAGCAAACTGTAAACCTAATTCAAATGGCTTTCCTCATCTAACATTGTTGCGACTGAATGTCTTTATAAAGGCTAAGTACCGCTCACAATTATACTGAAGGAGTGAAGTCTTCCACCACATTCATAGAAGTGCTCAAATTTAATCCTTCAAATGTTAATAAATATATATCTAATCTCAGGGCAACTGTTTCTACATTTGGACATTTCACACTAGCAACCACACTCTACACATCTGCAATCTAGACCTCATTACTTGGGGATCCACGACCAAAGGGTCCCGTCACCGAAAGCATTTATTAAGATCATCCCAAGCAAAATGGGAAATTTTGGAAGCAAAAACAAGAACAACTTTCTAAGGACTTCCCATTCCACTTTATATCCAAATAACATGCTAATTATAAGAAATCTTATTATCATTAAAAACCAATACCGTTTTATTTGAAAATACTGACAATGGTTTCCTTTCATCCTATCTTACCCTTTCTGATTAATTATAATTAACTTGAGTAGAACAGCCTCTTTTTATATCCTTCACAACAGTGACTCTCAAACTTTTTGATCTCAGGACCCCTTTCTGCTCTTAAAATCTACTGAGGACCTCAAAGAGCTTTTGTTTCTGCAGGTTATATCTATCTATACTTTCTGTACTGGAAATTTAAACTGAGAGCATTTTAAAAATATTTATTACCTACTTAAAAAAACTCATTACATCTTATCTTTTTTTAAATTAGACATACCTATACTTTCAAAAACAGAAGAAAAATTGGGAGGGTTGTACTCTTTCACTGGTTGGAAATACATTTAATATGTGCCTTCATGGAAAATACCTGGATTCTCAAACATGCTTCTAACTGTTTGTCCTGATGCATTGTTTTGGTTGAAGTAACACGAAGAAAATCCCGCCTAACACAAATCTGGAGCTAGAAAAGGGAAGTATGTTTTAATAGGCTCTTCAGATAACTGTGGTCATTTTTCTCTGATACTACACCAAAACTTAACAAGTGATAGTTTCTTAAAAATTAGCTGCAGTGTAGGGGCGCCTGGGTGGGTCATTTGGTTAAGCATCTACCTTGGGCTCAGGTCATGATCTCAGGGTCCTGGGATCGAGTCCCCCATCGGGCTCCCTGCTCAGTGGAGAGTCTGTGTGTGTCTTTCTCTCTCCCTCTGCCTCTCCCCCAGCTCATGCTCTCTCTCTCTCTCAAATAAATAAAAATCTTTTTAAAAAAATTAGCTGCAGTGTGGAATCTGAAACTGTATCAATGAACTTTTCAAGCTCTTTTACATGAAAACCCACTGGTTTATCTTACATAATAACAACAACAACAAAAAAATCACTTGTTAATATGGCTGTGGATCTCACCAGAAAGGTCTGTTAAGTATTGGGAAGCTGTCAAGTTCACGGTGGTGGATACGAGTTTTCCAAAATTCTTATTTTTACTAGAAAGCTGGAATTTTCTCTTTGGTCATAAATAGTGTCAGTTGCTTTCCTTGAGGTGGCAAGCAGGCAGGCTCAACGCACTCATCTGCAATGTGTACTCTAGGTCCAAGATGTCATAAAATTTATAAAGGACATTCTTGGTGTAACTCGTTCTCTCTCTCTCTTTTTTTAAAATGTGTGCACACACCCGCCCGATTAAGCTAAAGCTTCACCGGTTTCACCCTTCTGCTTTTGAACTATTGGCGTGCATATCAGCAGCTTGCACAAGCCAAATAATGTCTCGGGGTCGTAGTGAAAATAGCTCTGGCCTTCTCAGTCCCTTGAAAGGCTACTGATGAACTCCCTGGGGGTCCCCAGGCCATACTTTGAAAACTGCCCTGTTACCACATAAGTGACCTCCAAACACCATTCAAATCACGAGTGGCAGCCCCCAATTTAGAAAGGTATTATTGCTTGTTCAGGTTATCCACATGTATTACCCATCCCAAGAACCTTAATGTAAGTGGAAGGCTACTTCCACAATCCAAATTCAATACAGAACCATGAAAAATGAAATCTAGTTACGACGTAAGGATACAAGAAACTAAACAAACTAAATTTAATATGGAACTTCTCCAAGAAACTTAAAACATACATTTTTCCTTCATTTATCCACTTGTTTCCCCACTTGCTGGGCTTTCTTGTGGGAGGCGTTTGCTCGGTATTGGAGAAATGGAGAGTCCTCTGTGGACAGGACCGTGCCCCCCCGCCAGCTGGGGTTCACAGGGTGTGAAGCAACCAGAAAACAGAGCAGAGGCACTACTGCCAAAGTTATCTAATTACAAGATCCGGAGCCCCACCCTACAAGTAGCCTGTCCTTTGTAATCTTGGAGTCTGTTTTCTTAGCTGGACACGAGGCAAATTCCACTTAGCCCTGTGAGGAGAGGAGGAAGTGCGTGGAAAGTCTCAGCATGGCCCCCAACCCCCAGCAGGTCAATAAATGGTAGCCACTGTTAGTAGTAAGGTGCCCCCGAGGCAGTCCCGGGTCCAGAGGGGAGCAGGACACACATCGAAGTAATTATGACCCAGCATGGGAACTGATTAACTACAAACGGCGCTGGGAGTAAAAGGAAAATCAATGGTCTGCCTGAGGGACGAAGGTGCCGTAATAAAGGAGCCACCATCTCAAAGGAAGGAGGAGCTGGCCCCATGGGAGAGAAGGAAAAGGGAAGAAGTCCATCAGACACACAGAGCAGCTAGGCACAGGGCAGCTAGCAAGGAAAACACCCTGCAACCAGCTCACTTGGAGCCTTTAAATGCCATGCTCAGGGGTGCAAACACTTGAAATTTTCTTTCTATTTTTCTAGAGACTGAAGCCTTATAAACACTCATTGCTGACAGGTCATCTGGTGTCTTGCAGCCTTGGTGTCCTCACCTCCCATACACACGTGGTACTTACGCCTGTGACCTGTTAGCCGTCCCTGGCCTGAGTGTGACTAGTGGAGAAAGAACAGAAAAGCTCCTCTCAGAGGCCGCGGGACGGCAGCAAGCCCCAGCAGCTGGGGGAATCCGCCCTTGCTGTTTTAAAGCCCAAATGAGGCACATACTGGGTGAAGCCATTTTGTATTCTCTCTGCCACGTATAAAATCTGGAAGCATGAAACTTTATCTTCATCCCAGCCCCAGTCTGCCTCAGGTCCTGGGCTCCAGTGGAATTTTATAGGTCTCTTGGCTTAATGGAGTGAGAACAGAAAGAGGGGCTAGTCCCCCGTGTTTTCCATCACAACTGCAGCCGTGTGTGAAGTCTCCAGCCATTGCAGGAGTGAGCCCTGAAGCCCACAGAGGCCTCCCGTCTCTCTTGTTCTTGAGCAGGGACACCAAATGCTGCCTGGGTGCGTCTGTACCTGAGGATGGACCACAAGGCCAGCCTGAGGACAGCCCCCCAGGTGCAGTCAGCGAGCACCCACAACCAGCCGCGCTGCTCCGCACTCACGTACGGGAGGCGCCCGTTCAGACGAAACCCACCGCCACCACAGCGATGTCTTACTCACCCAGAATTTTACGAGGAAGAAGGCATTTTGAGGGCCTTTTCCAAACAGTTCCTTTAAGCCACCTTTCTTTTCAGGAAATTTGTCATAAATCTGACGAATGTCCACTGATTCGAGCAATGGGTCACTGTAAGAATGGTTGGCATGCCCAATGTGCACGAAGAGGTGTTTGTTGTACTGTAAGAAACCAACAGAAACATTCCCATTACAAACCCTTTGGTCAACCTGGGGCACATCCATCTTGAACTGGAAGGAGAGCAGTGGTCTCGAAATCCCGGACTTACACCTTGAATAGCCTAGGGTCTGTGCCTTTGAAAAAATGAAGACGTTCAGAAAAGCCATTATAGGGGCACCTGGGTGGCTTAGTTGGTTAAGCGTCTGCCTTCGGCTCAGGTCATGATCCCAGGCTCCTGGGATCGAGCCCGCATCGGGCTCCCTGCTCCTCGGGAAGCCTGCTTCTCCCTCTCCCACTCCCCCTGCTTGTGTTCCCTCTCTCGCTGTCTCTCTCTCTGTCAAATAAATAAATAAATAAAATCTTAACAACAACAACAAAAAAGCCATTATAGCTCAGGATTAAAACCATCATTGTCTTTTATTGACAGGGGTATCTATTTTCCCTCAAAAAGGCTTTTCGTAGACATAGTAGTAAATAACAGCTGAAGTGACCCAACTACCAAACCAAGATACTATTACATCACACAGTTTCACCTAACTCAACTGAAAATGACAGCAACACCCTTTGAAGCCCAATATTTAACAGTTCAGCCCAATGAGGAGCATGTGTGTAGTCAACTAACGTCATCACCCAGAATGCACTTCTTGCTCGAGCTTCCCCAGCAACAGCACGGATGCAGTGCTCTGGGCAATGGTACCCACCTACTCCTCCAACAGGAGTAAGAGTGCCGAGCCTCTTTCTCACCAGTCCCCTTAGCAACCAGTCTAAAGCTTCTGCATAAGGGCTGGTCAGCACATGGTTGTCAGTGCAAAGTTCCGGCCAGGAGAACAGTTCATGGAGAGGATTCATGGTACAAGGTCATATGGGGCCAGTAATCAGAGAACACAGGTCACTCATTCACAAACCAAACAACCAAAACCCAGTTAAGTCACTTAACTTACAAAAGAAACCCTTTTCTCTCCTTGCTTTGTTTTATGCCATGTTTGGTATAAAACATGTTAACTGGACCACAAAGGAGTTATCCAAACCAATGATTCTCAAAGAACATTTAAAAATCACCAATGCCTGCGGCCATCCAGACTACAGGGGAATCCCAGAAAATGAGGCCAGGCATCAGTAATTTTTAATGGGCATTAAATGAATTCCAGTATGCAGCCAGGTTAGAGAACCGCTGGCCTACACTTTCTACTCCAGACCCTCCGTGCCTGCCTCTTGGGCTAAGAAAACCATAACACCAACCTAACGAGACACAAAGACCTCTGCGGCTGTCAGGGCTGTGGGGAGATCAGAACCCAACTGGGCTCATGCGAGAAATTCTGTGTCCCAAGTCACCTGGCAGGCCCTACTTACTTTTCAAAGTTTAAATGGTTATTTCCCCAACTAGAGTCCTTCAGAGTACTGACCCCATTAGAAATGAGAAGTCCCAAATAAAAGAAAGCTTGGTCAAAACTGCCTACCAGGAGAGTACTGTATCGTGGGTAAGAGTTTGGGGTCTGGACTCAGCCTGCTCGAGCACAAAACTTTGTGCCTACTGAAAATTAGCTAAGACACTGGGCAAGTGCCTCCCCTGTCTGTAAAATGGGGAAAGTGCTGGCGTCTGCCTCCTAGGGATGCTTCAGGATTTAAATGAGAAACTAAATATAGAGAGCTCACAGATTCAATGAACAGCAAACGATAAATGCTAGCTATTATTATTGTTTTGTAAAACCCCCTTCTTTGAGCATAGTTAAAAGACATTTCTTAACTTGGTATAACCCAAAGTTTCCTAAGCTCATGTGGTCACAAAAGCTTACAGATGTATCCTGAAGAAATGCTGGTTTAAATCCATGACTTGCTACACAGGCACTGGATCTCTGGCCACAGGGCCAACGGGCAGGAGGCTCGACACCACATCCAAAGTCAGTGGTCCACGGTGTTGAACAGCTGGGGATGGTGGCCAGGGCCCGGCACCTTCTGGGAGACGGCTAAGCCCCTCTCCTGCTCAACATCAGGGTGATATCTCTACAAAAGCTTCAAAATCCCTAAGAGGTATCAGGTGAAATGAAGAAGGGGACCCTGTCAAGCTCTGCCATAGACCCAGCCTCTGCCCAGCGAGCTGCTAGCTTTCAGGTGAAACTGAGGGCTGGGAAGCGCTCTGCAGGGACAGAGTGTGCCTACAACGGAAGAGAATTTTTTAAAATGAAGTCAAAAGCCATTGCCAGGTTGGGGAGCTGAGATTATGGGGTAGAGTGGAATGTCTTTGACCTTTTCGTAAATGTTCCCAAATGTTGTTGTCACATCATCTTGTCAACAATAAGCAAACAAAAGCCCACAGAAATGTATGAGGCACTCCTGCTAACGAGCTTCCATTCTCATTAGTGGGCAGAGCGAGAAAAGACAACACAGCTGGGGACACAGACGCTGGTGTAAAGGCCGCCAGAGAGGCAAAGATGAATGAGCAGTGTCTTGTGTGTGGAGCCCCTCTGCTCATTCTCCACCTACCCACCATTCTGAGAGCTGAGGGCAAAAGTCCTTGTTCTTTCATTATCCGGATGGCTGGCCTTCTGCAGGTCCATCCATCCCACCCTTACATTACTAACCTCTGCTGGCAGCAAGCTCCCGGGCCCGCCCAGCTCCTTCGGGGAGGTACCGTTTCTGTCCTGTCGTGTGTCACTGGCACACAGTGAGTTTATGGGCAAGGAGGCAACACGAGCAGAGCTATGGGGTCACCTGTGGCCAGAATCCCAGTCTGTCTGCCGAACACCATGCTCTCAGCTCCTCCTCCTTGGCAGCCGCCCACGGGCAGGCAGAGCTGGGGACGGAGGTAAGAAGCTGAGACTTGCGGTCTTTTTTGCTGCCGACATCCAAAGGCCCCTGCAGTGTAGTGCTGGAACGCAGGACCTCTACATGTCAAGAGGACAGGAAGGTGAAGGGAGGGCAAAATTTACCACACTTTAACAGAGGCCTTGAAGATATGGTTGAAAACCAAAGTGCTGAGCGCAAAGCACGAAAACTCTGGAGCCAGATGAGAATCTGAAATCTCAATTTTGCTCATATGTGCAACGGGGATACGGTATGTGTAATACGCAACAGGACTGAAGATGAAAGGGAATAATGCACAGAGGGTGCTCGGCATAGGACCCAGCATATAAGAAGTGTCGGGGAAATCACAGCGGCTAAGATTACTATTGTTGTGGTTTATTATTACGTGAGATTACTAGGTCCTGGGGGTGAAGAAAAGAACTTTCCTGCTTTAGCTACCCCTCCTGCGTAGCAAAGAAAAAATAAACAATAAATACAAGTAAGCCAAGAGCTAGGAGCAAGTTGTGAAGCCATGGGACTGTTCAAATCCTTGATTCTGGCCCACTCATGACCAGCTTCTCGGGGTGCAGGTCTCTCCTGTGCCTGAAGGAAGTTTGAAAAGAGCTGTGTCCGCTCACTGCTCTGTGCCATGTGCCTTCTACATACGTGACCTCAGGTAATCGTGGCCTTGCAACGACACCGTAGGGACATTTTATTAAAGTCATTACACATGGGAGAAATGGAAGTTCAGAAATGAACAGACTAGCCTGAGGTCACACTTCCGGGAACAGTCCTGGAGTTAAGAATAAAACTTGGACCTGTCAACGCCACAGCCCGTGCATTTGCTGCAAACGTCAACCACACTGTCTCCCAGCAGAAAATGCCTCGACCCTTCTCACTCAGATCTACTTTCTACTTTTTCTGAAAGCTGATTTGAGAAAAAAGGAGAAAAAAAAAAAAAAAAGCTAACTAATGTTTTCAAAATTCTAAGAAGTTAAATTAGAATTCAGGATAAACAAAATGATTCGCAGATGCAGCAGACAGACTCTTCAAAGGTTTCTATTTTGAGGAAGTTACCTTTGTGCGCCAGTGGCTGAAATGAACTGAGAAGGGCAGGCTGTCTTTGCCAAAGGAAACCGGGCACTGCCTCTCCCAGGCTGGTGACGTGAAACCAAACCCTGACTGCTGGCATCTGGGTGCCTTTATTCCTGCCAAGAGGTGACTTGGTTTCTAAGAATACAAAGGACTAAAGAAGGTATCCTGGAGACCACAGCAGTGAGACAAACAGCCCTCCCTCTCCCCTTAATTCAACCTGGGTAGGTCAGAAATCCCTCTGCCCCCAAATCCAGAAGACTGAAAAGAAGAAATCTACCTGATATGTTTGGGTTCAAGTTTTGATTAAACCCAAACTCTATAAAAAACCATTTGGTAAGGCTCTAACTACTTCCCATTCCATCAGTTCTCCTTATAAGGGAAGAAGGCCAGGGTGAATACCTTATTTCCCTCTCTCCTTCCCAAATAAATCCCATTTTCTTTTCAGCAATGGTGGTTTCCCCAAAACTAAAGGTGAAGTACAAAACCAAAAAAGGGCAATTCTATTTTATAGGCAGGAAACAAATATTTGCAAAGCAACACCAACAGCAACAACTAAAATCCCAAGTATTGGGGGCAATATAAGCAGAAACAGGGTAAATGTTAAGTCGTGTATACTAAAGCCCAAGACTAAATTTCCTTGATATCCAAAATAGAGGTTAATGTTGGTTTGTTCAATTATAAAAAAAAGTCTCCTGAGGCACTCAGGAGATATGTTGATGATTAACAGATCAATGACAATAACAAAAAAGGCATTCACTCTGCTTATTTCTTTTATGGATTTCAGTAGAACGAACTGGCATTCCTATGACACATTCTATGCTAGGCACAGGGAATCCATGACCTAATAGTACAAAATCCTCTCTTCAAAGAACCTATAGAGTTGAATGTATGGAGCTAGCTTATTGACTCTACAGTCAGAATCATATATTTGTCCATGTAAATATATGTTCTCAATGATTCCCACAGAGAAGATTGGGAATAAAGACAGTCAACATCCCCTCTCCTATACATCAGATGACTTAAGTCAGCATTCACCTGCTCTTTTTATATGAATGGCTGTATTCTCCAGCACTAAACATAGTGTTATTCGTTAACAAGGAGAACACATGTGGAACTCACTTGAAAA